AAAACGGATACCCGAATAAATTCAGATCTGGATATCCGATAGATAAATGGATAAACGGATAATGGATCGGAACTCTAGAATGCTAGCATTAACGTTGATAGAATCGTTTACACTTCTTGGCATTTGTGTTATGTATCGGTCGTGTAGCAACGTGAGCAAGTTTTGTATCACATCGTTGCAACAATATGTGCTTCGTGATCACGTGATGATCGTAGTTATAGAATGACGATTTTAGAGACAATTTCGAAGCCAAATTCGGAACGATTAGGTGGTTAGCTTTTCATGTAATATAATTTTTCAACCAAAAAATAAGATTAATACAGTAATTTATTCATAAAATTTATCTAATTGCAGGAACTTGTTTTCTATGATATTTGGCTAGGGAAGGTTCGCTGTGTGGTACAAATTTTCCATTAAACTCAGTTGGAAAGTTGGTAATCAAGCGCCATATAAAGTAACCCGTATCTTCAGGTTCAAAAATGTTTTTGCGGAGTTCCTCAATTGTGTATTTCTCTCTTCTTTCTTTAATTTGTGGAGTCGCATCTTTAGAAAGCAAATATTAATTATTTGTTGTATATAATGTTAAAAAGAAATTCATTGAGTCATTTTTAAATACTGAAATATTTTTTTGGACTCACCAGGAGATGCAAATAATCTTTCTAGAGCTTCTGTGTACACTGGTCCTGGACAGATCGCGATTGTCTGAATGTCTTTTTCTTCTTCAGCCAGAACAGCAGTTAACATATTTAAGGCTGCCTTTGAACTTGAAAAAAAAAGAACTTTTATGTAGCTTGCGGTTATATACTGTATTCTGTATAAAAGTTTTTCCCGTACCTGCAATAGGCCACATTATTCTGAGTCGGGTGAACACTATTGACACTACTGATGTTAATAACTTTTCCATTTACTTTTTTTAAATGAGGTAAAGCCGTTTGAGTCCAAAACAAGGTAGCGAAAACGTTGACACTGTAACTCCTAAAGTAGAAATATTTTAATAGCCGTATATAAAATGGGTGCTTAATTTTAAGCTTATCGCATAGTTTTTACCTTGTAAAATCATCCAAATTTGTTTTGGCAATAGGACCACTCAAGCTGGTATCACTAAAGTAATCACTTTAAATTAATATTAAATTATAAAATATTGCGACCAATATAAAATGAACTCACCCAGCATTATTAACAAGAACATCAATATGACCGTAAAGTTCAATTGCTTTTTCGATAGTAGCAGTTGTCACATCCTTATCTGCAGTATCACCGGCCACATAATTAAAGACGTCTGCGGAATAACCTTGATGAAGCACTTCATTTTTTAAAGCTTTAAGTTTTTCTTCTGTTCTACTGCAACCAATAACCCTGGCTCCATTTTTGATAGCTTCCAAGACGATTCCCCTACCAATACCAGCCGAAGCGCCGGTCACGATTAGAACAAGACTATCGTTTTGCATCGTCGAGAATTTATTAAGACAATCTAATTAAGCTACAAATCTATAAACAGTTACGTACTGTTTATAAATTTATCCAATTATCTATTTAGGGATATATTTAACCTCAATAGTGAATGAGGGGAAGGATCAACAGTTGAGAAAAAAATTGGTCTGTAGTTCCTGTTTTGATTCCTTTAAATAATGAAAATTTTATTTGAGCAATACTCTTTCTTTTTTAGGTTAGTAAATCTGGGAAAATTGGTCTTCGGAGGACCAAAGGTCTTCTTTAGTGATTGTACCCGATCAAAAATGCTGCACGGGTTACCCGGGTAATCAACGGATACTGTATACCCAGGTAAAAAAGTTTACCCGATGGGACGATGTTTTGCCATATTTCACGGAAAACCGCAAAATTCGGCAAAAACACAGCCAAACACTTTAATCACCGCACAGAATCCTAAAAAAATCAGCACAAAATACCACAGAATGTCAGCGAAAATGTCGGGAAGGGTGGATAATTAATATTAATAAACATAAAATACGAATAGTTTCGGATCCGGATAATCTGTTAACCTAAAAAGAAATTTGTAAAACTAGTAACTGCCGCGTAGCCTAAATTATAATTTAATGCCAGGTAAAATTGTTTATGAATCGCTTACTTCCTATAAAAATTTTTTGAAAAAAATATTTGACTTCCTCAGTTTATTGTCTGCATTTTCTAGAACAAAATTCCTAGTTATTTCCATAGAATTCTAGTAATTTCCAGGTAAAAATCAAACCCAAGTAGTATTCGGCTTCTAATTATAATAAAGTGCAAAGGATTAGAAGCCAAATATTACTCGGTTTTGATTTTTACTCAGAAATTATCAGGATTCTATAGAAATAACCGGGAATTTGTATATGTTTATTTCAGAAAAATAAGCATTTTCTGAAACAATAAGGCCAGACTAAGCAGATTATTTGTTTAATATAGCATTGTTAGCTAATATAGAAGGGGAAGAGATAAAAAAAAAATATAATAAAAAAAAAAAAAACTATAATACAAATAAAATCTGACTAATAAAATTACAAAATTTATATATAATATTTGAACAAATTTTGAAAAAGTAAAGAGAAAAGATTATGTTAAACAAATAATCTGCTTGGTCTGGTCTAACTTAAAGAAAGTTAAAGATATGTTTTTCAAATTTTTTTTATAAGGATTTATTCAGTTCTTTTATTGTTATTTTTACTTAGTTAAAATTACTAAATCAGATAAATTAGATTAACTAAAATAATCTTAGTTGAGCTGATTATAATTAGTTAAAGCCAGATTAGTTAATTGATTGAGGATTTTAGTACTAGTTCAAATCACTAGTTTAGGTATATTTTTTAATCTTAATCTTTAGAAAGCTACTATTAACCTATATTAAAAAAGCTTATTTATTTTTAAATTTTAACTATTCTTTTTGTTTCTTTTTTTTCATAATTTTGTTTTTGATTTTTTTAAATTTTTTTTTAAAAAATATTTTTTACCTTGAATTCTTTAGACTATACTGTTTTTTATATTTATTATAGTTTTTATAATTTTTTTTTTCTATAGATTAATTTTTTTTTTAATTAGTTATAACTTTATAATAAAATTTTTATAATTTTTAATAGAAGTTAGACCAAAATATATCTATAAACTAGCAGATTATTTAATTTGATTTAGAGCTAAAATAAAAGCTTTTTATTTTTTTAATTTATTTTATTTATTTTTTTTTTGTGTTAAAAATAGTTTATATAGTTGAAAAAAATAGCTACTCTTGTTAGGCAAAAAAGTATTAAACTTAAGCTCAAAAAAGTTAAAAGCTATACTAATGAT